AGATACCAATCATAGATGACAGGACCAGTGCTACAGTGCAAGGAAAAATTTTTTTTAAATGTTGAAAAAAAGTTCCATCTTAGAGGGCACTTATTTATAGTCTCAAATGTATATTGGGATTTTTTTATTAAACTTCTCTTTAAACTTCATTAAATAGTACACTTTTATACAAATAATTGAATGTTATGCTACTATTTACAAAAATAAAATCTGAAATCCAATAAAAGAGAAGTTCTCTATAATTTTTTCAATTCACAAATGTGATTTTGCCCTCACGATAAGACAAAATGGCCCCAGTAAGTAGGGGGTTAAGACATTCTACAAAAAATTAAAATGTATATACATTTTTTGTTTCTATTTCTTAATTTCAAACATTTCATTGCACTATATGTTGATGATAGTAAGTACAGTTAGTGATATGGTATAGAAAATGGAAAATAAAATATACACATTTACCTTAAAAAGCTTTTGATATTCAATTACGAGGTTCTAGAGGTTATGCAAATAAAACTCAAAAACTGTAATATGAAGAAAAGTATTTTTATACTTAAAATGAAAATCATCTTGCACACAAACTATTAAGGGTTGAGTGCAAATAACTACAATAGATAAATAACATATTTTTAGTGGAAATACTTAATCAAAATAATGTCATTCTTTGTGTACAAGATACTTATAATCTTTAACAGTTTTTGTGAGCATACATTAAGAAATCTCTGAGTTACATTATGTATTGTTGCATTTGTATTATTCCCTAGGTGGGGTTGTGTATTTTACATGACCCTGCTGAGAAAGAGTTAAGCAAGTTAATCAACCAGTTCTAATTAGCAGTGTTTTAAAATCTTTCTTATGATTAAAAAACACAAACTGATAGTGAACAAGCAAGTTGTATTTTAGATAAAGCAAGATTTATTTTAAAAAAATCTGTTTATCTATTACCATAATATTTTCTCCCTTGTTTGGCTGTTAATTTTTTTACCATAACAACACTCTAAAATTGACTTTAAAACCAGGGCTTACTCTCTGATTGTGTTGTAGACTGTAGGGAGTAAACAGAAGACATCAAAGGCCGCATGAAAGATCATATCTTCTGTCAAAGGCCGTCTGATCCAGAACTTCTGATCTCGGCGATAAAGATTCTTCATCTGATCCTTTCTTGGGTTTATGGGTCCACCATAGGTACTACACAGTGTATTAAGTGATATATTTTTGACTTTATAAACAGGCTTGCCTGCATCCTGTTGCTGAAGAACAGCATGAGCAGCCTAGAAGGAAAAAAAAAGAATGTACAAATATACAGCAGGGATTAAATTACCCAACAGAACACACAGTAATTTTCTTAATTTGTCAATAAATACCAAAACTAAAACCTATATCCTTTATTTTTGAACTTGAAAAAGTACAAGATTTACACATAACACATTTTACACAAGGTTTTGAACATCTGTTAAGTCTATCCCTATATATATATCTAATTAATCCTATACTGCTTACACAGATCACTTTACAATACAAGTATAAAACTGACTACTGAGAAGAGCAAAGAGTTAAAGAGTGACCACAAACTGTTATTTAGAAGCTCTCACATTATATGCATATATTGTTCACTACTGCACTTAGTTATGAAATTAAAATAATTTAAATGGACAACATCATAATCAACTTTATTAGATACTCATACACATAGCCCCTACCTCAGAATTAACTTACAGATGAAAAAGTTTAAAAGCTTGAGTAAACTATAGAAATAAAGCTAATAAAGTGCAATAACAAAACACCTCGATACTTTCAATTAGTTATTAGTTTAATTTCAATAGTTAAGATTGGTATTAATGTGTATGTAGCAAAACAATGGCATGGTCTACAGAATCAGTATGATAAGCTGTACCCTAGAATTGAAGTTTGGTTGTATAGTATGTTGTTGGAATTAGGCAGGTTAATTCCAAGTTACTGAAGTATATTTTAGTCCTATCATCTAAAGCATTACTTATCATTGATAGAGGTTTTGACTATAATACAATGTCTATGAGCTAAACTTAAATAACATTTCTTTTTTATTTAGTGGCCTGTCTGTTACCCTCAAATTTGTAACATAACTGTTAATAAAAACTTCTGAGTGAAAGTAAAGTGTATGTTATGTCAACAACAGTGAACACTACTACAAGTCCATCCACATACTACACTGTATTCAGTAATTTTGTGTCTTTGCCTGTTACAACACTCACTGTATTAAACTGACCAAAAAAAATGTGTGAAATCACCCAATTTTTAAGTAAAATACAAATGAAATCACAGCAGTACCTAGTGCAATAAAAGTGGCCAACATTTCTCCACCATACAATCCCAACATAGCTAATTTTGACACGAAAAAAAATCTAAAACTGTCTATATTACTGCTTGGGACCTAAAAGAAGGTATCTTTGTACCAAATCCCATGCAACTTGGTTGACATACACATGAATAGTTCACAAAAACCTTAAATTGCTTTTCTTGCTGAAAATTCAGCAAAAGACAAAAATTCCAAAATTGTATATATATCTCTGTTTGGGACCTGCAAAAAGTATCTTTGTACTAAATCTCACATAAACTAGTTGAAATGTGTCTAAGTCATTGACCCAAACACCTAAAATTATGGGTTTGTTTATTTACTTGACCCACCCAACCAACCACCCCTAAAATGACCAAAAGTTATAATTTTCCTACACTGAAAATGTATTTCCAATAGGCACAATACCTCCTCTCACAGATATAACTATTCTCATTCAGTGTTGCCCTCTATATGCAAATATTTCTTCGCAAGCCACAAGCTCCCATGTACCCTATAATCAAAGTGGTTCAACTGTGTCTTGCATGTAAGTCATCATGCGACAACCCTCCTGATGCATGTGACTCTCTATAGTCGATTCTACCGAACTATCATTTCAAGTTTTGACAGAAAATGTAAGCACTGGTTTTCAATGGGGAGGAAGGGTGGGAAGTGTGAAAAGAGGTAAGTAGCTATCAGAAATACATTTTCAGTACTGGAAAATTATAACTTCCAATACAGTATATTACTTCTTCTCACAAATATAACTATAATCCCACATTGAATAGGTGGAGGGACAGATCCAAGGGTAAGAAAGAAGCAATTTTTTGAAATGTATGAAGGACACTCCCTAAAATGAGAAAGTCAGATTTTAGGATTTGATGAGGGAAAACACACCACATCTGAACCAGGTATGCTCTTCCCCATGGTAGAAAGATGTTGCATATAAGGACAGAAAACAGAGGAGCACATCCAAGTGAGAGAGAACTATGGCCAGAAAGTGACCTAAACCATGCAATATCTATGAAACTCAATCCCAGAAATTATTAAAGTGGGTAAAATCAAAAGAATGTGACTCTAGGTGTAGAGTGGTAGGGCATGACAGACCATTCACGGACATATTAGGACTAGTCCACGTACCTGACTGAATAATTTCCTCCAATGGTTGAGGAATATGAGACGCCAGAAAAAGGTAAGGTGTTGAATTTGATGAAAGGACACCAGAAACAAAGTACAGAATGAAAACAATAAAGAGGAATAAGTACGGAATGAAAACAATAAAGAGGAATAAGTTAATCGAATTAAAAAACACCCAAAAAGGAGAGATCTTCGCAGTAGAGGATCATATGTGGAAGACAGCATCATTTCTGTACCAGGTATGCCCATTGTGGGAAAAAGTTTTGCAAACATGGGCAGAAAATGAGAGGAGTACATCCAAAAGGCAGAGAACAATAATTGGATAGGGATCCGAACCACCTGATAACAGAACCTCAATCCCTTTGATGATAGTAATGTGGATGAGAATAAAAAGACGTGCCCCAAGGTGTGGAGTGGCTAGAGTGTGACGGACCATTCACGGCAAGTCAACTGCATCCAAAACCCAGCCACCAGGAACCAACATCTACTTAGAAGCAAGAAAAAGGATCATAGTGACAGCAAGTCAACTGCAATCCAGAATCCAGCTATCTGGTGGGAGTAGGAAAGAGGGTCATACCGTCTCACCTCAAGTTTTGCAGACCAAAGGAAGATATCATACCCAACGATCTGTGAACAAGGCACATTATAGCTAAGTGAAAAATTGTTGGACCAATCCGTGAACTCGACATCCAGTCGATCAGAAAGATAAAGATGGCCGCGTATTGTGAGATATCCCACTCAAAACCAATCAGACAGGAACCACCCCCAGTGCAGTAACATCCTTGGAATATGAAAATCTTCAAGGGATTGCATAAAAAGAATAACCATAAAAACCTGCATGTTCATCCACCATGACCCACAACACGGTAGCAGTGAACATGAGTCCAATTGAGTTAGGGAACAGAGAAACCTGTAGTACATGGGAGAGGAATTATGTTAATTGGTCTAGCTCTGAATCCAAAACCTATCCACTGGGAACTGACATCCATGTGGGGGTAGGATGAGGGATCCCATCGAAGGGGTGTACTGCAATTTAGATGGCTAACTCCAAAGCTACAACACCCCCTCAGATAAATCTGTTCAGAGATGGAGCTTCAGATTGGAAGATATCTCGTCATCTACACCAGCAGAATGCCAATACCCTGCTCTCAACTGAAAGGATTCATCATAGGTTGCATTGTATATAATGATCACATTCAGGAGGATGCCTCCATGGTCCACCACCAAAGCAGCTTGGAACTGAAAAGGGGAAGAATATGCAGTGAAGAGTCTGGAGGAATGTCAACACCAGAGATAGTGCAACAGGTGACCTCAAAAACCCTATTTTGAAAAGCTGACCAAAACTGGTTTATTTAATCTAAGGAATGGCAGGGATGGGCAGCTATTCCCTTCTGCTTTACACATGAAGTTTATGGGTTAGTATGGTCCAGAATGGGCATTTCAATGAAAGGAAATATATCGCAAAGAAAAATCTGATCAATCTTGTGGAACCCCCCATCTGAACAGTGTATGTGTGAGGTGGTCATGGAAATTATAACTGTTAAGTCAACATGGCCTGATAGTGCGGATTGGACTAATTTAATGTACACCTGGACAGGCACCACTCACACAGTGCAGGATCTTTAAGGGAAAAAAGGGACATGCCCCTGAAAAATAAGAAGTACATATATATCAAAACATAACTTAAAATTGACAACGTTGAATGCACCTGGAACATGACACGCAAAGGGATGAATACCGAGTGTGTGGGCCCAAAAAAGGAGATCCAAGGTCCGACCACATAGGGAATGAGAATGGGTGCTGCCTTGGTGATTGATACAAGCTACCACCATAGAATTATCAGAGTGGATCATGACCAGACGATTCCTGTCAAGATAAAGAAAATGATCCAAAGAACGATGTACAGCCAGAAGCTCCAGGATGTTGAGATGGTAAGACCTTTAAGCCAGAGACCACTGACATGAAGCTTTCTGCTGATTGACTTACGGCCCCCAGACATGGAGGGAAGCATCTGTGAAGATATGCAAATCTGAATGAGGGGGAGGAAATGGAACACCCACCGATATGTGAGCCTTGTCTAACCACCAATGCAGATTGTCAACAAGAAAAGGAGGAAGGGATAGGAGCATCCAAAGGATCCTGCAGAAAGTTACTTTGGTTGTCCAGGGTCCAGCGAAGAGACTTCATATACACTCTACAAAAGAGGATAAGAGTTTCCTTAGAAGACCACATCCTCAAAAGCAATAGCACCTCATGAGCAGTAAGGGTGTGGAGAACTGTAAGCTCCATTGAGTGGAATCAAAGAGGAGAAAGTTGGGCCTGACCGAGATGAGTGTTGAAAAGAAACCCAAGTGGACAAGATATTGGGTAGGTATAAGGAAGTACTTCTCCAATTTGATTATCCAACTCACCTGAGCTGCCTCAAAAGCAGCAGATGAGTGTGATGGGCAGACTTCCATTCAGAATGAGCTAACAGAAGTCAGTCCTCCACGTAATAGTGTAAGCACAACCCCTGAGCATACATATGTAAGGCAAAAGCCTTTACCACTTGACAAAAGACATACAGGGCAGAAGCAAGTCCAAAGGTTAGGGCACAAAATTGATACACTACCCCATGATGAACAAACTGAAGATAGCACCTCAACTGGCAAGATATAGGAATATGCAGATAAACATTCGAGATATCTACCTTGGTCATTCATTAACCTGGAGAAAAAAACACCTGAGAGGGAGAAAAGTTACAATTAAAATGAGGCAGAACCAAAAATTGATTGAGGTGAGTCAGATCAATCACAAGTCGCCAGTCCCCAATTTACTTGGGTA